TAAACCGCTTAGAGAGGGCTGAAAGCCCTAGGAAGCGGTATATAAGCCTAACTGCTATTGCTATTGTCCTGCCCCTCTTTTGTCTTGAGAGGGCAAATAACCTTTCCTGCTTTACCTTCTCTTCGTCTCCTCCTCCGCCTCGTTCTACCAGAGGGGCCTGGAAGGTGAAAGGAAGCCCCGTCATCCTCTGATGGACGGCGTCTCGAAGGCCCTTGCGGACAGAAAGAGGGACCTATTCAGCAGGGGGGACACTTGGTTAAATATCCCGGTGGCATGTGTTAAAATAATTTTCTTCCTTTATTTTTCAGAAGAGTTGTGGCCGAGTTTGAGGACGTGGTCGGACTGGTGGTGGGTAGGTTCAGATCGTGTGCTGTCAATATCTCATTTCTGGGAAGGAGCAACGTCCCACAGTGGCCTCTTGTCTCGGGCCTTTTGTGCCTGAGACTTGGAGGCATGCAGTGGACTAGAACAGTGTTTCTCAACCTTGGTGACTTTAAGTCCTGTGGACTTCAACTCCCAGAATTCCCCAGCCAGCTCTGCTGGCTGGGGGATTCTGGGAGTTGAAGTCCACAGGACTTAAAGTCTCCAAGGTTGAGAAACACTGGACTAGAAAATGGAAGAGGCGGCTACTTTGATGCTACACTTGCAGTGCCACGTCATTATGTTCAGGGTTAAGGAAGGAAACATAATTCAGTGATACTTGGAGGGTTTCAGGTCGGGAGACCCTGGGATCAGAGCCCCCCGCCCAACTTTTCTAGATATTAAGGTGTCCCAAAAGTGCTTTTTTTTTTCAAGAGGCAACTGGACTGTCTGGTTTTTCTTTTGAAGACATTTCGCTCCTCATCCAAGAAGCCTCTTCAGCTCTGACTGGATGATGAGGAATGGAAGGATTTATACTCCTTGCAGGCAGCTGGTCCTTTGCATCCTTCGAGAGGGTTGTTGAGGCCACCTGGAGGTTCGTCTGTGTCCTCTCTGCAAATGACCAGCTGTCTTCAAGGAGTATAAATCCTTCCCAGCCAGCCAGCCAGAGCTGAAGAAGCTTCTTGGATGAGAAGCAAAACTCCTTCAAAGAAAAAAAACAGAAAGTCCAGTTGCCTCTTGGGACCTGGATGACTGAGAAGCTCCGTAGACGTTTAGATTTTAAGATCAATAATCGGATAGTTTAGGGGAATCTCCTTCCTGGCTTTTTTCTTCCATCTCCTAGAACAGCGGCCCCCAACCTTTCTGGCACTAAGGGCCAGTTTTGTGGAAGACTATTTTTCCCAGGTTTTGGAGGGGGGGGGGGTTCATGAGGAACTTTAGATCCCACCCATGCGCGGATAAAGCTTCCCTCGCTCGCCCACTGCTTGCGTGGCCCGGTTTCCAACTGAGGTTGGGGGGGCCTCCTGTCCTAGAACCTCCTGCCAGTTTAACGGACTTGTTTTCCCCAGAGGATTGTAAGAGCCAGAAGGAGCTTGCGGAAAAAGAGCTGCAGAAAGCCTTGGAGGCCAAACAGCAGGCGGTCTCTGACCTGGAGGCCTTGGAAAAGTCCTTCTCCGAATTCTTCAACCGCTTCACCAAACAGAAGGAGGCCATCGAAGGGTTTCAGAAGGTGAGCCTTTGGTTTGGTTCTTTTCCCCCCCCCCCGGCTGCTGCTCTGTCCTGAGCTGCTTTTGACTGCCTGGAACTTGTAGTTTCCCATGAGAAGCGCTTTGGCTTTGAAGGATTGAAGCTTTTGGGTGTCCTTTTCATGAATGGGGATCGTTGCAATCAGCCACACAGCTGCCCACGTGGCTAATGCAACATAGATAACTACAGTTGTGCCAAATACCCATCTGCAAACATTTGGAGATCATTGTATTTTTGAAGGTGCATAAATAGGCCCTAAAACACTTTCCTTTCTAATGCTGTTAATGGCTCTTTGTTTTTGGTAGGGAGGTGCCGTTTCTGCTTTTTTTTAAAAACAAATGCTTTCTGTACAGAGGGAATCAGTATTGTCCCCTGCTTAACTCCACTAATTGGTCAGAAGAGAAGGGTGTCACTAAATGGACATTTATATTAAAGAAGTTCCAGTTTCTCTCTCTGATCAGAACCGTTTTGCCTAAAGAAAGTTTTTGCCTCAAAAACAGACACAACGCTGCCTTAAATATCCAGCTAAGAAGGTTTAAGAATCTTCCTCCCCAGGAGTTCAGCGATGCTGCTGAAGGGGAACTAGGACCGGCATTTTCTATTTTGAAATCCAAGCGCTTGAGGCCTCAGATGGGTCTTTTGTACCTTTTTGTCCAGAGGAACAACTGTACAATATTCCCATTCAGAGAAAGAGGATGGTTTTGTGTTGAGGGCCAAGCGGTGGCTTTGTGTTGTAGAAGACAGTTGGGGAAGGTGGCTGGGGAAATCCAAAGGACTCCCATCTCGTCCTCTAGAATGAAGAGACGCTGAAGAAATGTGTGGTGGATTACCTCGAAAGGATTAAGAAGGAAGAGCAGAGGTACCAGGCCCTGAAGGCCCACGCGGAAGAGAAGTTGGATCAGTGAGTTGGGCGTCTGGGACCTTCCGAGATGGGGAGGGGGAGAACCTTCAATGGGCTCACCTGTGCCACTGTGGCTTTTCCCTTCCCACGCAGAGCAAACGAAGAGATTGCCCAGGTGAGAAGCAAAGCCAAGTCAGAGGTGGCTGCCCTCGAGGCCAGCTTGCGCATAGAACAGATGAGGGTCCAGTCGCTGGAGAGCACCCTTGAGCAGAAGGTCAGTCCAGGCGAGGGTCCCCGCTCTCCCCAGCAAGGAGGCCAGGGACACGCTGGGTGGAGGGTTTTTCTCTTTAAGGAAGAAAACAAGCAATGGCGAATTTCTGGCCCGTCTGTCACATTACATAACAATTCTAGCTAACTCTTCATCGATAAGCCTGCAAGTCTGTCCAATTCACCTGTGGCGCATAAGGAAAAACTGCCCTCCAAGCTGACATTGGGAAGGGGGGGGGGCTATTAAAATTCAAGTTTAACTCTACTTAAAAGTGTGCAGCTCCTTGAACAATTGAGCTGGGCAACTGCATTTTGTTTCTTATAAGTACCCCACACATGTACAGAGAGAGAGAGAGAGAGAGCTGTTCCTATAAAGGAGAACTCCATTAATATAAATGTTACTTTCTAAACTGTATTTATGCAACATCTACCATACGATATTTTCTTCTTCTTTCTTTAACAGGAAAAAGAAAACAAGGAACTCACAAAAATCTGTGACGAATTGATTTCTAAGATGGAAAAATAGTGCTAAGATCTCTGCTTTCCTCCCGTTTTGTTCTGTTTTCCAATTTTGGGATAGATTATTTATTAAATGTATTTCTACACTTCAGTGTCACTAGTTTGACTAATATTATTTGCTATAAAATAGTTTCTTTTTATCCCCAGTTTCTGTTTCTGAAAAGTAGTTGAAGAGGCCTCTGTGTAATAAAAATAAAAATTTATTAAAAAAAGAAGAGG